AAACCCAAAAGTATAACCCTGATTGTAGGAAACAGTTATTTCTTACCCCTTCTTTCCTTTCTTCCTGCCTTCAGAGGTGGGAGGAGAGGGGGAACGTCTTCTCTTTTTGGAGGGGGTGGACTTTGAGTCCTGTAACAAAAAGTCAAGGCAGATGAAAAAAACTAAAAAAAAAGGAGTCGAAGCTATCGTGACAAAAGCAGCATTTGCAACTTTGATGAAGAGGACAGCCGCGTTTCATCACTGAGGGAAGTCGTTGTTTAAAATGGAAAAGCAATCAACGCAGGTTTTAACTCTCAAAACAAAAGACAAGACATTTCATTAAAAAAGTATTTCAAGGTTCACATTTGCTTTCTGTGGCTTAAATAAATGATGATATTTAGCTGTGTATTAATAATAGAGAACCTCATTCCTTAGATAAGCATTACAGATCATGCACAGTTTCACACAAACCTGGTCATCTTGGAGGTGAATACGCTGGCGGAGGATGACCGGTACATTCCTCTCATCCACACAGTAGTCTTCCTCATTCATCCATTCATTGAAAACATCCGTATCCAGAACCCAACCAGCATGGACCTGGAACACACACACACACACACACAAACAAAATGAATATTAATAGGCAATGAACACTAGTGTATCTCATCAAGTGTCGAAAAGGAACACACACCACATCAGCGAATGCCAGTATAAATTGGCTTAGGCAGATAAAGGAATAGGCTGCAACTAGCTGTCAAGTTACTTGTTGAATTTTTTAGATGATATTATATAAAATCCTCCATTATTTATAGAGCCTGTGGTCTGGTTCCTGTTCCAAAATTCTGTCCCTGCTGACCACCATTCTGTATCTAACGGAGAGCCAATTTAAAAAAACAGCTATGCTCTTTCGTTAAGTGACTCCCAGTGAGCTATAAAATTAATTTTATGACACCACATTTGATTCAATATAATTTAATGTTCGGAACTACAAAATGTTGATGTAGAGTTTTATATAGTGGATAAAGAAAGCTGCGCCATGTCATTAGGTATATAAAGTGGTAGAACTATAGGAGTTTCCTTTATGTGTATATGTGTTGCCATACTAACCCTCCATGGCCTCTCTGGATGCGGCAGCTCTTCAACCTCTCCTTCAACGTCACCTGAGGACAGCCAGCTATCGTAACTGTTAAAAGACAAAAGACATTTCATGGTCAAGTAATTAAAGTTGTGTCTGTGCTGTCCGTGTGTGTTTATGAGGGTTTGCTTGTGCATTACCTATCAGGGTGCATTCCCCAATGTACTAAGACATGCTTGTCTTTCCGCATGACAGGACGCATCCACTCATCTGAAAACAGATAAGCATACAAAAAAGTTAATAAGTTAGTATTAGGTAATATAAAGTGAGCAATCACACGCTTAAACTTTTACTGACCCTCCTCTGTAGAAGGTGGTGAGGTGTAGATGTGATGACTGGCAAGCGTTTTGTCCTCAGTGAGGGTACCCTGTGGAAGGAAAAACTGTGACTGAGCAGCACTGAAAAAGCTACACTCTGGTTAGTTATTCTCGCTCTTTTCCACTCTAAGCTCTCAACATATTCTCCTTTTACACAATGCTAAACCCTCCATCCACTCGTTTTTCTCATCTGCAGCGCTATACCTGGTGTTTGGTGATGATACCAGTCAGTCTGCTAACCAGCTCCTGATCCAGTGCAGGGTCCAGATATACCACAGGCACTGACATACAGTTGTTCTGTTGACAAAAAAATAAATTAATTAATTAATGTACAAATCAATGAATAGCAAGTCCTTGGTGTGTATGTGTGTCTGAGTGTTTTTGTTACCTGGATCAGTGCTTTTTCAATCGTACCAAACATCTCCACATTCCTCTCAGTTCTTGATGGATTCTGCAGGTCAAACCTTCGCCTGTGTGAAGGTCAGAAGGGAATAAAGAGGGCACAGTTATGAGGAGGCATCGGCAAATGCAGCACAGCTTTGTGAGGGACACCAATATGAAATGGTAAAGGCACAGGAGATTGACTACCCACCAGCCCTGTTCGACTTTGAATTTGTAAGCAGTGCCAAGAATGTGACAGAGTCCACCCCCGGGTCGCAAGTCCAGGAAGCATTGTGCCTGTAGAGCAATGACCAAATCAGCACCATTTCACCTTTTCTCTATTTAAAGGATGTTGTTAAGGTTTCGGAAACAGTAAAAGACAGACTCACGGGCAGTTTGGTAAGTGCAGGGTTGGTAGCTTGTCGACCAAAGGCATCCTCTTGAAACTGGAGAAGTTGTAGGGTGACTGCAGCCAAAGCCTGACAGGACGGGGCATCCACCAACACATACTGACAGGGACACACATTGTAAAAGGTATATGAGGAGCATGTTTACTCTTCATGTCTTATAATAATCATTTTACCGACAGTCTCCCCAACTTAGCAGCTGTATTTATAGTGTGTCTGAGCTACATTTGCATTTCATTTTTTTTGTATTCCTACTTCACATAGGCACAGCTCTGTAACTTCATCACACCTAGCTTAATGGCTAATGTAAAAGTTATGCAGCCTGAGAGGTTTGTTTACAGTGTTAGCCACTGAGCTTGCTAGCAGGGGGCGGCTAGCGTGTTGCCTAGCTTCCTCGTCAGCTAACTACCTTTTTGTAGTGCTTCCCCATCCACTGCCGCACCACATCCAGCTGGGCTAAAGTATCCGGACTCTCCCAGAACCTAGCGGACGGGCTGCTGTCTTTCTTCCGGTGTGCGAGTATTCCGGAGCTGGCTTGGCTTGTCCCGGGAACCCCGAGATTAGCGCCTCCGGACATTGTAGCCATAACAAAACGAGATAAATTTCAAACGGGAGAACAAAACTGGCTAGCGCGGTCGCTAGCGTTTGCGTTCTCGTGTTCTCTCGCGAGACACAACGGGACTGTCGCAATTCGGCATGAGAGGCTTCCTGTCAGTGTTTACCGGTTGTTAGTGGTTTAGGATCTTTTTTTTTGTTTCTAGTGTTTGTTTTGAAAAATTCATTAGTATATGTTAAAAATAAGAAAGACGTTATCTTATGGACAACAAAATAAACACGTTTGTCACTGGCCATTACCTTTTGTTGAAGTGAAACATTACAAGGAAGTAACTGCGCAAGACAGATGTAAACAGCGTGGAAGCGCAGTGATATTGGTCAGTATAACCTACCTATCAAATGTCTGTTTAAAATATGTTCTTAATATACAGTTTCAATCACGTCATACGAGTTGTTCTGCCGCAGTCATTTCTATTGTGTCACAATTTTCCAACCAACAGTCTCAGTGTCTGTTTAGGAAAAACAAACACTCGAGCAGCTGACTGTCTACTCAGTTAGCTATAACTGGCATTTATGCTATTACTGGATGTCTGCAAACTGCACTGCGTGGCATCTAAGCGTCAGCACCACCCACATGGCACCACTGTGAACCTCATTCATCCTCTCACTTCATGTCCTTCTAGGCCCTGAGGTCCCATGGGTGTCCAGGGTCTGACCACCTATGTGGAGGGGAACAAATACTTCTTCCAAGATGTGAAGTTCAGGGACAGTCGCCTGGTGATTGATGGCTGCAGTCTGTATTACCGCCTCTACTTTAACAGCGGGTTGGAACAGCAGCATGGCGGAGACTATTCTGAATTCGCTTGCCTGCTCACCCAGTTCTTCTCTGCTCTGGCAACCTGTAACATCCAGCCATATGTGGTTCTGGATGGAGGTAAGGATGCTCTAGAGTTGCGACTTACTGAAAGTGTTGCACCCCGTCATCTCCTCAACTTCTTTCAGTGTGTGATATTAATCTGTCTCAGTGTTTTCATACACGGCATGCAATTCAAAGAGGGGAATACTTAGAGGTTTCATGTGTTATTTTCAAAACTATTAACAGGTTAACTCAACCAGTCATTTAATCTCTTCAGTTTCAGGGGTCCTAACTTGGTTTTGGTAGTTATTTCTTCAATTTGCTATTTAGTCCTGCAGAGCATCTTCAGAATTCTTTATCTTTCTTACTCCCTGTTCATGTTGTTCGTCTAGCTATGTAATAACCTACTGATTTTAACCTATGTGAAATATTTTAATGATAGGTCATCAAAAACTCTCTTTTTTTTCGTGTTTCCCTCCTCATGGTTTTTTGTGTAATTTTTTTAATTTCAATCTTTGCAAAACTTCAACCCAAATGAACTCAGAGAATATAAATATTATTAATTCTGGCAAAAGTAGACAAGTGTTTCACAAATGAATTACAATACAATAAACAGAATTAAAGCAAAAGAAAAAAAGATGTGAATCTAATCAAATGTAACTTTGTCTGCATTTGTAAAACCTACAAACATTTTATTTCTGTCTTTTTCTTATTATTATTCAAAGGGATTGACCCCAGTGACAAGAAGTTTTCCACTCTGCGGCAGCGCTTGCAGTCCAAGATAAAGGAGGCAGGCAATCTCTCTCATGGTCGCAATGGCTCGGTTCTCCCTATCCTCACAAGAAATGTCTTCATTCAGGTCCTTCTTGAGCAAGGAGTCCCCCTGGCCCAGTGTTCAGCTGAGGCTGACTGGGAGATTGCATGTTTGGCACACCAGTGGAACTGCCCAGTGCTGACCAATGACAGTGACTTTTATATCTTTGACCTTCCAGGTGAGGGTAGTGAAAGGGTTTTTCTCTCTGTGCTTTAACCAGAATCCAAATGGTCATTTGTAATAACTGGTAGTGACAATATCTTGCTTTATTTTGTAGTTGTTTCACATACTGGTTATGTCTTGCGTTCTCTCATCTTAGGTGGTTACCTCCCATTGCGTTTTTTCCATTGGACCAACCTAAATGGTAAAGCCTCTCACCGCTACATCTCAGCTCGGTGCTACACCACAAACAGTCTGTGTCGCTTGTTTGGGGGCATGAACCATGAGTTGCTACCCTTATGTGCTGTGCTGACTGGTAATGACTATGGTGTTCCAAAGGAGGCTGAAACACTCCTTGCTCTGGTAGATTTTAGTGCAGTGGGGGGAGGTGGTGGCAGGAGAAAAGGTGGAGCGCCCATGTCGCGTGTCGAGGGAATCCTCCTTTGGCTGTCGACTTTTTCAAGTGTGGCAATGGCACTAGACGAAGTGAGCAAACTAATGGGGGAGGACAGTGGTAGGGGCAAGAGAGGACAGAAGGGTGGGCTCAGTTCCCAGCTGTGGGCAGGCATGCAGGAGTACCACATCAAGGGTCGAAGCTCACTGGCTCGCTGGTTCTCCGGAGTTAAGGCAGTTCCAGGAGGGCAGACCTCTAGGCTCGCACAGCTGCCAGAGTGCTTGTCACTGGCTGCAATGCAGGGACTGTTGCATCCCTCGGTGGTCGATGCTTTTGTGATGCAAAGGGTCCTTCTGTCGCCACAGGTGGAGAACAGTAAGCTAGCCAGCAGCCACTGTAGTTCTAGAGCCATACGACAGGCGTTGTATGGGATTTTACTGCAGAGACCCCAAGACAACATAACTCAAGGAAGAGGTGGAGGAGCACAGGTAGTGAAGGGACTGCAAGATGAAGTTCAAACGCAGGGTATGAGGGTGCAAGAAAACGTCAGACAGGGAATGAGAGGTGGAAGAGGGCGAGGAGGAAGGGGGAGTGGAGGCAGGGGTCAGGGCCACATTGTACCTGCACAGCAGGGTGTAAATGTAGCATTTAGCACAGAACAAGCAGCTGGTGCAGCTACAGTGCAGGCTCAGAGCAGCAGCAGCAGCACTCCCATTTATGTGGAAGAGTATGATCGTGTGGACCTGAACTTGAAGAAAATCCAAATAGAGGCACATCCCCCCAGAAACCATCTACATCTGGATGGACTTGGTCAGGTAAACGTTCTTCGGTATTGACAGTCTTTGTTGGTTAGGGTATATAGGTTTTTTTTTTTGTTTTGTTTTTTTTAAGACATAGTCCACATGATCTAATTACAGTTTTCCCATGTTGACTCATCACTTCATCTAGGCTCCTGTGGCAGTGCGACTAAATGTCCTGTTTGAAGTCTTGGGGGTGAAGGACTCTGCCCTGGCTCCTGTTCCTCTCCACCTGCAGCTGGCTGTAGCGGTGACAGGATTCTGGCTGCGGGAGGCCGTACCAACACCCTCACAGCTCCAGCTGCAGGCTTTGGTGCTCAGCATGGTTTATGGGGAGCTGTTCTTGAAACATCAGTCTGGAGCTACTCAGCACCAGCACCGTGGTTAGTTGTGCTGTATCTCTCATTCTGTTAAAAATGCACCCTATAACAAGGCAATTAGTTGTTTCACTCTAATAATCTAAGAGCCGTTTCTTTCTGTCCAACATCTCAGTTCCACAAATAAACTGGGCTGCAGAGCGCAAGGTGTTGGAGGGGCTGAATCGGCAACGTGTGAGACCAGGGGAGAGACAGGGCGTGAATCTCGGAGCTGCTCACAGTTTCAGCCAATGGCAGGCCTGCCTCTGGAGTGCACTGTGTCTCAATCAGCTATTGCTGCTTCCGCTGCCTGAGCCCAACCTGTCATGGTAAGAAAAGGGTATAGAAGAGAACAGATGGGTGCACTTTTTTTCATTTCTCATCCATTTACCCATCTCATAAGGTTAATGAAAAGTAGAGATGTAACTGCTAATTGGGAACTGACAAATTATTGCTTTTGTCACGTATCTCGATCTGCATTTACATTTGCAGAGATTTTGAGATCTCTCCTGCCACCCCGATACAACAGAGGGAGATATAATTTTCTGCTTGTTGTTAAAAATAACAAAAATGAGATAACAAAGCTTAGATTTATATTTATACATACCATTCAGCATGCAGTTTTCAATGATCGGTCACCTCAGGTACTTTTTGAGGTGGACCCAGAGTAGACAAATCTGAAAATATATGCAAGTATATAATTTGGTTGTTCCCTTCCTCCTCCTTGTGCCTCTCAGGTTGTTCAGTGGTACTTTGGTTCACGGCCTCGTCAGGAGTCTGAAAGGGGGCCGAGCTGCAGAGTCCCTGCTGTCTGGGGGATCCTTTGCTGTGCAGCTCTACTCCTCCCTGCTGGATGCTGTTAGGAAGTGCAGCACTAAAGCCAATCCCTCGTCTGCAGCGTCAGGGAGGAAGAGAGGCAGAGGCCGAGGCCGAGGAAGGAGAGGAAGAGGGGGAGGTGGAAGAGGAGCTCAGGCTGGGGGGAGAGACGACGAGATGAACAACAGGTTTTCTCTCCTTATGAGCGAGGAAGAGTACGATGATGACGACTGATGGGAAGGGAGGAGAAAAATGAACAGATCAACATGAAACACTTGCTAGGGGCCAAATGAGGGAGGGCATATCAGCGGTTTATAAAACACGCTCAGGAATTGCTACAAGTAGTCATTTTTAAGTGAAGAATTACAACTTATGATGTTTACCACTGTGTATTGCAGTATTTTAACCTACATAAGCGAAAACGATATTCCGTTCCAGTTTTTGTTGCCACCTTAAAGCATGTGATGTCGACACTAGATCAGTCTTCTCAAAGCAAACTCTAACCATATTTTTACAGATTTATAACCGCTTGTATCAAATTACTCACACTGTTATCGATGCAACCATCTTCAGCTTCAGTTTTATCAAATATGTCAGAAAAATATTTAAAAACAATGAATGTAGAGATCATGTCTGTGGACCACAAAGTTGTATGGCAGCTACTGTCAACTTAAGCAATTTCTGAAATCTTATGCCTTTTTTTACTGCAGATGCCTTAATATACACAAATGTACTGTTTGCTCTTCTTTCCATATGTAAAAAAAATGCAAATCAAACTCGTCTTATTCTGCTATATTTTTGTTTTACTTGTAACCACATATAGCTGAGAATAAAACGTTTATCCTTAAAGGCACAGCACAAAGTTACAGAGCATAAACCAGCTCACGGTCAGGACTGTCAACAAAACATCACAACTTAATCTATAAACATGTATATAAAATCTGTCTCTTGTCCTATGAGGACGATGAGGTCGAGGCGGATGAAGAGGCAGCGGACGCAGCGTGTGGCTGAGAGTCTATGAGCTCCATGTCTTCGTCTTCGTTGACTCCGCATGTGTCGACGACGCAGATCAGGCAGCTGGTGACGGGAAAAGCTCGCACTTTGCTGCACGTCACCCACCTGAGAAGAGAAGAAAACTCGTAGATTCAGCATTTAAACAAGGCACTATTTATTTGTGTAGAAGAATGGTTTTATAGTGTGTTTATAAGGACACATTGCTGTGGTTCTTGGGGGTTAAGACCCCTATAAGGGCAGCTGTAGATGTAATAGCGGGGAGACGTCTGCATTTTAAATCTGCCCTGTTGCTAGGAGATGCTCTGGAGAACTGAGTCAGTCAACAGAGATCCCAAGTGATGACCCTGCAGGTGCAACTGGTGGAAATGCCTCGGTAGTAACACCTTACTTGTGCAATAGAATTCACCAGACACACAGCATTGATATGAGGGCAGTGGTCTGTTTAATGACAGGTCTACACATCAGTGGCAAAGATATCTCCAACATCTTTTTCTTAAATACATTTATTTTAGCAATTCGTTCATACACCAACCTGTCAGTTTCCGTGTAATACTCTAAGACGTGTCCGAGCCGCCCCACCCCTTGAAACCCTGCCAGCACGTAGATGACATCTCCGACCGCTGCACACTTCACCGTTATGCCTCGCCATGGCATCGGCGACGCGACGCACCACTCATTAGTAGCAATGTCATAGTATTCCACTGAATCCAGCCCACCTAGAACAATCACACAAAAAAACTGCATTGTTCTAGTACACGATTGTGACTGCCATATTGCTGCTATGTTATTACAGCACTATTTCTTCTCCACTGTGATGTCAGTTTTATTACCCAGTGCCCCCTGCCCTCCAACAGCATAGATCCTGTTGTTGACAACCACCAACCCGTGGTTCTTCCTGGCCTCTCTCATCCCACACAGCTCCCTCCATCTGAAAAGGTAAAAAGTAGAGAATAGCAGGTAAATGCTGCAGTGTAGAAAAACATTATGTGTTCCTTTGTGGGGACATTTTTGATGCCTTTTAAAACCTGTTAGTTAAAATAAACACTTTGTTGATGTTCAACTAAGAAGAAGATGATATTTTCTTGATACCTTTGGAAATAAGCTGTTTTAGTCAAGAAAAACTATTGTTTATAAGTTAAGATAAAACTTTATTGATCCAGCACTGGGGAAATTTACATGTTACAGCAGCTGGATACAGATGAAGCACGAAAAAAGCAGGACAATTTCTGCACACTTTGATGTAAATAGTAAGGCCCTAATGCAACACTATTACATCCATACATACTATACAGTCTCAGGATCATGAGCGCTAAGTGACACGTACACAGGTGTACGATTCTGTGACTCACTGTTGTGTGTTGGGATCATAGACCTCACAGTTGTTGAGGACCCTCCCAGAGATGTTGTTGCCCACCGTTCCTCCACAAACGTAAATGAGCCCGTTGGCCTCCACTGAGCCGTGGCTGAAGCGGGCCATCAGCATGCTGGTTTTGACCTGCCATGACTCTGTCCTTGTGTCATAGCATTCGAAAAGGTCCAGGGCTGAGCTACCTGTAGACACACGGACAGAACTTAATACAATGATTAGATGCTTCCAGAGGTCAGTGAGCATATAATAACAACAACAACGTCATGTGGCACATGCCAGTCAATACTGATAGAACTATAGCAGCGAACAGAGCGGACATCATCATTAAAGATTCAGTGAATTCTACCTGCAAACTGCTTGATATGACTATTCCATTAGACAGAAACATTGCACTAAAACAAATAGAAAAAGAAGTACAAGTACAAAGATCTAGAACTAGAAATACAGAGAATGTGGCAGATGAATACCGACGTGACCCCTGGAGTTGAGGGAAAAATAAAGAAGCGGATGGTAGAAAACATCAAGAAAGTATCAGAGAGAGCTACAGTAACAGAGACCCAAAAGGTCAGCATGCTGGGATCTGCACGAATCCTCAGGAAGGTTCTTAGTATATGAACAGAATTAATGACTTCAGTGACTGATGCCTCACGTGCATGGATTGCACTCGGCTGAGGCACAAAAAGAACACCAGCAAAGACTGTGACAAAAGAGATAGTAATAATAATAATAATGTAATACAACCTACACAAAATATGAAACGTATCTATTCCATATTAGCACCTCACTGTTCGCAACCCACTTGGTAGATATGTAAAGAAACTACATTTCATATTTCATGTTCTCCCCCCCCTCCAACGCTCACCCACTTCCGACCCCCCAGATGTGTAGATCTTGCCCTGGGAAGCGCAGGCAGCCAGGCTGTCGCGAGGTGTGGGCGGACCAAGCTTAGAGTACCAGCTGTCTTTCAGAACGTTGTAGCAGTCCATGCGCTTGATGGGGAAGAGCTGCGAGCCACCCAAGATGTAGACCACATTGTCCCAAAAGACGGCCGTGGCGTCCCGGCGCTTTTCAAAGGGGCAGCGAATGTCTGTCCAGCTGGAATCCTACAGGGAAAGCCACGCTGACACTTTACCAATATGATTAGAATAGACCTAACGATACACAAATCTGTTATGTGTGTGTCCAACATATAATCTAACAATGCCCCCTTGAGAACATTTTTTTCATGTGCAGCCTGGTACCTTGGGGTTGAAGTAGCGACAGGACTGAGGCTGTGAGCCTCCAAACAGAGCAATGCGGTAGTCGTGCTTCTTGCGTCGCGGTCGGCTGCTCTCTCCAAGGTCCTCCCGATCCTCCAGGGACAGCAGGTGGTAGCGCATCCCACCTTAGAGAAAAGCACAGGATGTATTTGTTTTGCTAAAAATGTCAGCTCATTATGTCATTACACCACATGCATAGCGAGTACTTTAAATACCAAATCAGCAGCAGTAATATCAATGTAGATATCAACTTTTTCTTTCTGACTAGTTGGAATTCATAGCCAACATGTCCTTGTAGTACTTGTACCTAAAAGCAATTTTGGTTAAAGAGGGAGGCAGTCTTCTTTGGCATCCAAAATTCCAGACCAACCCTCAGCATTTTATAATTCAACTAGTCAAAGAGGAAACTAGACTTCTGTACCTCCTCTTAGGTTTGTTTTTAGGCTTTTGAAAATCTATTCTGGGAAAGAGCTTTTTGACAGTCACATGACTTTTCACCCAGATCAGCTAAAATAGCATAACTACCAACAAACTTCACAGCACCAGAAGGATGTAGTGGAAGTGTAGTTTCAGATATCTCAAACATAATTATCATTGTTTGAAGAATTAATTCTACTTGTTGTAGTGGATATTTGTTACAGAATGCCATCAAAGAGAAAGACCTCATTACCAAGTTTGTAGAGAACAAGAGCTTGTTTCATTAGAGATTTGCGAGTTATACCATTTCAACATGTCAACATCGACATCCTCCCCACTGAATAAATGTCAAAAGGGTTTTCCATATTTTTATCATTATTCCTAGATTTTGTGCATTTGTGTGTCAGCTTCTCTCTCTTCTGACTCACCGATAACCATCTTGAGGCACTCTGGGTTGTCCTGGATGAGAGGCTCAGCCTGCACAGTCTTTGAGAGGAAGGTTTTGGAGACCAGAGGAAAGCGAACGCACCCCAACACCTCCACCATGTACTGCTGTCTGTTACACACATCGTACTTCAACCAGCGCACGGCAGCATCGTAGATCTGAACACAAATACAACAACAAAACATGTGGGAATGTACAAGTTGCAGGCAGGTATGTCTTGATGTGATGAACACTATTAATATGGTGATCTAGGTTCTGAAAAGAAGTGTTTATCAATTAATAACTTTACAAAAAAAATGTTGGGGACTTATTTTGTGACTTTCCCAAATTTGTGTGTCTCTAAAATGCCACTGGTTTCTATTCTTAAGCATGTACTTAAAAATAATAGCACAACTGAAATGAACTATGTAGTCAAAGGACATGTGTACCTGGGCCTCAGCACGGACGGTGAGTTTGTCCTGGTGCAGTATGCGAGTGAGCTGCGTAACGTCCAGTTGCAGGAATTCATCCAGTTTGTAGACTTCAGTGAAGTGGAGCTGGACAAAGTCCTCTGCTGCCGCCTTCAGCTCTGGACAGTCCATACAGTCTGCAAGGGATGAAATACCTGCAGGAGGACACAAAAGAAATCTGTGAATATAATAAATGACACAATTGGCAGGCCTGTGTTTGTATTTCAGTTGTTACCGAGGCAGTTTGTTGCATCAACCTGTCCTTTAAGAAACTCCACACACATCTTCTTCACAGGCTCAATCTGGTACTGGTTGGCTGCATCCAGCAACGACAGGACATTACTGCTGTTCACTGAGATTCTGGCGCACACACACACAAACACAGAATGCAAGGCTTATTTTGCATGAAAAAACAACAATACAATTCTCTCAAAAAGGACCTGCTTCGCAAAATCAGGCCAGCTTTGTATGTAAACTTAAAACTGCATCATAATGACCATGCTTGTAGGTTACACCTGAGGCAAGATTCTTACCGTGCTGTGTAAATGAATTCAATTAACAACTCAATGATCTCAGGCTCGGCACTCCTGAGCTCCACTTCATGGGACATTGACTCCATCATTCTGGCTGGAAGTGAGAAAAAAAAAAACAGAACAACATCATTGAAAAATAAAAACACACCAACAACATGATAACAGATGTAAGTATTTTCAGTGAGCAATATCTTTGTGTGGCAGGTAGGGGAAAACTGCAAACTTAATTGTGATTTCACTGTAACAAATTAGTAGTTTTGGTACAATATCCTCGCCATAATCAAACATTTTGAGGTATTTCTGCATCTACTACCTCCATTTAGAACATATGAGGTACGATTAGAAATCAGACTGTTGCAGGAGAGGCAGTTTTCACACAATGGTGGTCCTAAAGGTCGGCGCATTTTGTATGTGTTTGTGTCTCACTTACTGGTGAACATGAGGCTGAAGAAGTGGCTGGCAGCAGCTAGAACTACTCTGTGGGCTGAGAAGTGTTTCCCCTGAACCACCAGGGTCACATCACAGAGTGTACCCTGAAATAAAAACACACACTTACAGATAACCACACGTAGACAGTATGCAAATATCTGTTACAGACACAGAGTCTCGTCCTCTGGCTTTTTCTTTTGCACACACCTGTTTTCTCAAGTTGTTCATCACTCCCATAATGCTGGACAGCTGCCTGTACTCCTCTTTGTTGGCACCCTTTCTGTCGCCCTTTTTCTTGGTGGTTGACGCCTTCTCTGGAGAAGCCATTCCTGTCATGTCAGGCTAATTAATACTATATGTTCGCTTAGAGTAAAAATAAATAAATTTAAAAAATAAACAACAGTTGTAGCGCAGTGCTAGCAGCAGCTGCAGCCCCTTTGTTGTCGCTTATTGCTGTTGATGCTAATGTATGACTTCAAAAGATGACGGATAAACGGCAGCTTCCCCGTGAAGACAGTGAACTTAAAAAAAAATGCTGTCAGGTGTTGAAATTGTGACAAAACGTGCTAGTTTATGGTTTATAGTAAGCTACAACTCACTGGACCTTAGGTTGTGATGTTTTTCTTCTTCTACGGTTCTCGCCCGCTTCTCCTCCTCCTCCTCCGTCTTCTTCTTTGGTGTGGCAGAGTAGCTGCAGCGATGGCGGCTTGTTGCCCCCCACTCAGGCTGGACCGGCGACTAACCGGTGGTATGAATGACTTCCGTTTTCTTCGAGACTTCTTGAATCAGTGTTTTCGAGAAATAAAAGACAGTTTAACCGATTGTTTTTATATTTTTATTTTTTCAGTTTCTCGTTATTTGAGTGACTATTGTGAATTTTGCCTTTTCTTTAATGGAAGGGTATGAATACATTTGAGGACGACTGTTATATGTACAGTCGTGGATGGATGGATAGTCTTGGTGAATGTCAACTTCTGACTTTAAAAAACGTTTTTAAAAAATTCTCTCATTATTCTGGCATTTAGCAAATCTAAATAATTTTGGTAATCCAAACTGACCTAAAACAGGAAAAGGTTAGTCTCATTTATACATTTCTCTAAGAGCCAGAAATGTGGCGAGTGGGTTGACGTGGTGGTGCTATATCGATGTTCATATTTGATAATTAATTTAGTTGGTGTTTGAGTTGTGTTTGGGGCATGTAAAATGGCTTATATATTCTTGTAGCCCAGGTTCTACTGTTTAATTTGATGTACAACATCACTACATTCTTTCATGATGAGTGCATTGTTTCACACTATTTCTTTGTGTAAAGCCCGAGAGTGGGGCTCTCGGGCTTAAACTGTATAAAAAGGCATAACCCTTTTTTTTTTTCTCTCACTGCCTGACATTAAATCAGACTAAACTTTTCCTGTTTTAGGTCAGTTAGGATTACCGAAATTATTTTTATTTGCTAAATGCCAGAAGAGCGAAGAGATATTTTTAGAGAATTTGTTTTACTACTTTCTTTAAAGTCAGAAGTTTACATACACTAAGATGCCTTCAAACTATTTGGAAAAGTCCAGATGATGACGTCATGGCTTTGGAAGCTTTTGATAGGTTAATTGACAACATTTGAGTTAATTGGAGGCACACCTGTGGATGTATTTTAAGGCACACCTCAAACACAATGCTTCCTTTTGTGACAACATCAAAAAATCTAAAGAAATCAGCCAAGACATCAGGAAGAGATATTACTTTTCTAAAAATTCTCTAAAGAAAATAATGATCTTTTGTTTCTCCTGTATTTATTTTCTGCACCTACATTCTCTGATCTGCTGCAATGAATTTCCAAGCTGATTTCTGTCCTTAATTGCGACTTCCCAGCTGACTAACCCGTGTCTACGGTCCTAATTTATTGCAAAAGTGACTCCTCTTTGCCTCTTTTGTTAACCCTTTTTACCTTTACTCGTAGTCTTTTGCATTTGCCTCGGATGGTGCCTTAGCTCTCCGTGTGCCTTTTTGCAGGCATGGATCACTGACTTACTGGCAGACTATTGGCTTTTCACTTGCTGCTTTTTTTACCGGGATTGAGTCATATGCCACTATTCTTATTTCCTCACATATTACCGTTTCCCTCCCTCGTTATTTGTCCTTCCCACCTCCAGAATCGGAACAAGATCACTACCCAGCGTGTACTCATTCATTACATCCCACCCATACAGAGAGCTAAGACTGGTGTAAGATCTATGCAGGAGAGCAGTTGGTTCAACTTTAGGTCCTATTTTAAACTGCCTTGGGTGGATTAATAGATCAAGTTTGTGTGATTAAATTTCACTGCAGAGACAAGCTCTCCCCTTTAGACCATTAAATCACTGAATAGTCTAATTAGTCAATATGTTACATCTCATTTATTTAAATTTACAAAGTGAAGAAGTGGAAAAATGACAAGTTTTGGTTTTAGCTGGAATTACTTGCAAGCATTTTATTTTGTAATTTGTAAATATATGAACTTAAGAGGTGCTGATAGGTAGATTTAGTTACTTTTTCACAAAGCCGGGCTATATGCTTCACCACTGCCAGCCTGACTGGCTGCTTTTTTCGGCTTCACATTTAAAGGACAAGCATGTGAGAGGTATCTGTCTTCTCATCTAACTCTCAGCAAGGAAGCAAATAAGTTTGTCCCTCCCCCCCCAAACATTAAAATATGACTTTAAGTTTCACACGGATCTGTTTATGTGTCGTTATTTTCACAGCATGGGGCTCATCAGAATAAGGAGCCAACACACAAGTGATGCGAGGGGTTAATGTCATCATGTCTTTGATAAGCATGGCTTGTGCAAATCACCCTGCTTCCTCCAGAGGCAAAAGCATTCAAGTGGTTTGCGAGTTTTACAAAATGATGCAGATGTCAACATCCTTAATGTTCATGTATTCCAGCCACTGACCCCGAGGCAGGTCGAGTCAGTTCTTATCAGTCTCTGCTCAGGTAAAGTCTCGACCTATTCGCTGCCTTGAGCTGGAGTGTCTACACCTTCCTCCGTGCTCTTTTTGCTGGACTGCGGGTTGACGTCTGGCTGTGTGTTGTTCCTGACGGATTGCACGGCCTGAATCTGCTGCAGATATGGTTAAGGGCGTGACTACCTTGATTGATATGTCCGGTCTAAAGTGAATGACATGCCATTTATGTGAGGAAGGCCAGGATGGAATTTCAAGTTGCATGCATGCAGTTCTGACACAACGACAAATTTTGATGACACGTCAGTGGATCAGGCAAGATAGTTTTGCTGCTTGTTAGGGATTCAAATATCCATTTTTTTTCTTTAAGTAAATGTTTATTTATCTTTTTTACTTAATGGTGTCCAATTTTGACGCTCTTCATGTGAAAAATGATCATTGAGCAGAATGTGTACAATGCAACTTGGCTGTTAGCTAACATACTGGCGATGCTGCAGCAGTTAGCAATGCTCTCCAATCCGGTTTCCGGCACCACTGCCCCTGCTCCACCCTGTTGCCTTTTTATGCAGGTTGCGGCTCCAACCAGAAAAGATTACCATGAATCCATTCTCAAGGCCTCACTTCAGCTCCAATGCAAACCAGTGGAGGATATCATTGCCTTCTGTGTCCATCGTTATATATAGTTTATGGCTATAGCATAACGCTTGCACCGAAAGAAGTTATATATGAATATGATGAAGTGTAGCCCTGTGATAGACTGGTGACCTGTCCAGGGTGTCCCTTGCCTTTGCCCTAAGTCAGCTGGAATAGACTCCAGCGACCCTAGTGAGGATTAAGCGGCGTATAGATAATGGATGGATCTCTACAAGAGTTGGAATTATTAAGCAGCAACAACAGTTCCACCTAGTGACCAAATGGTAAAAGTACAGCTCTTCTCCTCTGAACAATTACATACATACCACCAAAGACAATAAACTGACTAGTGATATTTCAATAAGCACTGAAATGTGTACGAAAACAACGTTTTAAGAAATAATATCTGAGGTTGTTTTCACCGACTGTAATTGTTCAGTTAAAAAGTTGGATTAATTTTGTTGTTGTGACAACGTTTTTGCATTTTTGCACAGACAAAAACAAAATGTTATGACTATGGGTGCTTTAAATTATTTATCTACTGAATACAAATAGTGTTCTTAGTTCTTCAATACAAGTTTTTTTTTGCAAGGAAATGCATGTTGTTAAGTTTTGTATTGAAAAAGTTTTTTATTATTATTATATGACCTTTATCTATTCATATTGTGCTTGTTGCAAACTTCAAGTTATTGTAATTATTTTGTGAGTAAATTGCTCTAACCTGTGCTTGATGAGTGAGGTATATGTTTGTTTACAGCCTTCACACATACATGAAAACAGAAACTAATGCATAATCACAACTGCACAAAAATTGATTTTTTTTTTTTAAAACAGTAACTTTCTTGCTGTTTTAATCAATTTAGTTTTTTTTTTTAAATGAAATTTTACTCTTTCCAACCACAATATCTTGTGCTGTAGCTACCTGTGCTGATGGAAGGAACCAGAACAGCCAACCTCATGCTCATCATTCACTGGCACAATGCGACCACGTGAAATTTTAACTGGCACAAGGTCAGTCACTCAAAAATGGTCGCATATGAGAGCATTTTGGTCACAGTCTGGAGCCCTGTGTAGGCACATTGCTGTGCTATTATAACATGATTTATGACATTCTCTTATATTACGTAACACCCATTAATTTATTAGATTAGGAAACACACATGTCTTGTGGGCCACACAAAATGATGTGGCAGGCCTTGAGTTGGACACATGTGAAATAGGCCGCTTCTCATAATAACTCATGACTAATGCTTTGGCTAGACCCCCATTTAAATAACTAAATTTTGTCCTGTATTATTAAAAGTTAGAATATCAAATTTAATCAAAAGATTGTTATGTGTGGTGGAACTGCAGGCTTAACGTCCAGCCCTCCTCCTTTATCCGGGCTTGGGACCGGCAAAGTGACGCAAAGAGGCACTCTGGCAGAGTTACTGACGTTTTTTTTTTAAATTTATTTATTTTTATTTTTTTTTTATTTTTTTTTACATTTTTTTTTGTTTTTTTTGATTGTTCTGTCAATGTTTTGTTAAATTTAGTATTTTTTTTTTTAATTGTTCTAATCTTTAAGCCATATGTTTTTAATATAGCATGCTAATATATCTATGATAAATAATTAATAATATGTTTTATTACATTTACATGTAATGAAAGATATTATTAATTATTGGGTTAAGGGTTCAGAGAGGCAGAGGTTGAGGGGAAGAGGGTCGACCTATATCAGAGGTCAGCTTGAGGTTTGGTCCCTCCAGTTCTTTTAAAGCACCGAAGGAACCTCTTCCAACAGGACTTCTTCTTTTTAGGTTTTCCCTCCTCCACTTCTTGTTTAAATTCTTCTTTTTGGCCCAAGCATTCTTTTTGTGTAGAAAGTGCCGCCTTTAGTTCTAACGTTTCCTGGAGATGTTTCTCCAGGAGGCGGCACTTTTCTGTCTCCC